TAATCACGCTTGAGTTAGCCTCCTAACACATCTAACAGACTGAGTGCAACATTAGCATCCATTAAGAATCTGTGCACCAGGCAAATGTAATAATAATATAATAAATATTGAAAGTTCAACCTTTGGAGCAGATTTCCGCTATCTCCTGAAGAATAAAGGTGGCTCTTGAGCTGCTAAATGTTTCACTTTATTTAACAGCTAGCCGCCAACTGTGTTTGTCTTATGTCTGCAGTAGATTTTAGGGGCTTTTTCTGCAAAAACTGAATATTACCATTTTACACTCTGAAACAAGGAACATAATGTAGAAAGTCATTGAAGTGCTTTGTAGAGAAGAGAACTGCAGAATCTTCAGATAATTCCCTGTGGGTTCCTCGCTACAAGAGAAATTCCCCATGTTAAACATCATACATATAAAATGCACAGTTGGATGTCACAAATCTCAATGGGGCAGCACCACCTGCTCTTACCATTGAGATATATTCACTGAGTTGTGCATTCTTCTAAATGATTTATTCATAGAAACAGGGAAACTAAGGTCTAACGTGAATTTATTCCCAAGTTCCTCTCCACTACTTTTACTACTAATGATGTTACAGTTGATGGTGCAGTCTGATATTACATGCAGTGCCTCAGTAGAGCGATCCCACAGGGTTTTTCTCAAGAGCCCTTTATAAAGTTATAAATCTGTAGCAGAGGCTGTCAGCAGTGAGGGAAGCCAGACACTGTCTCACATCGTGGTGTTTTATTGTGTGTGGGTGTGTGTGGGAAGGGACAGAGTGTTTGACAGACAGAAGGCATATAGTGTAATCACAGCTGGAGGACGAGAAATAAAGACTTCCATTATTCCATACCATCAATCTCTCCTTTCTGTCTCCGTTTCACCTTGCTGTCTTTAAACCCTTTTTTCACTTATTTTCACCCACTTTTCCCCACCTTTTGCTGTCCTCCAATGAGTATAACATATGCTAAAAGATACAGGAGGACGCAGCTGCCTGCTAAGAGCCTGTATTAGCATGCGCATGTGTGGGAATTAGATGGTAATAGGGAGAGCTTTCCTCTGGCAGGTCAGACTCAAGCTGTTATCATGAGGAATTTCAGATTTAGCAGTTTTTCCTCCAACCTCTCTAACTTCCTACGCAATAGTTTGAATATTCCACTCCTCTGTCTTCTGTAATTAGCTTTGGCTGCTTTAAACAAGCTTCCAGGCCAGAGAGGCTTCAGCAGTGTTTGAATATGCAAGTATTCACTCAACCAAGTGCTTACTGTGTGTTGGAAAGTGTGTTGGCATGTGTACTTTTGCATTCATATTGGATTCGGTGCTCGTCTCAAAAATTGGTCACCATGGATCATTGTCATCCATCCATCCATCATCTAAGTAAATCACTCAGTCATCTGTCTTTCATGGAAACAACTCTAAAAGATGATGGATGTCATCGCTACTGAAGCATTTTTATGAATAGATTTTCCCGACCAGATTATTAATGTGGTGTTTCTCACTAATCTTTCTGCATTAAACCCCTCAAACCTCCATATTTCTAACAGTAATTGGCTCAAGGGGAAGTTGTAATAACAGGTCAAAACAAGGTGACATATTTCAGTAACAAATTCAGTTTGGCACTAAAGTGGAAAATATTCACTGTTGCCTTGCCGTTTAATTAAATCGTTATAGTTTTTGGTTGCTTTTTTAAAGCCCAAAATTGAATATCCTTTAAGTTCTGCGTAGGTTTTACCTGACTGCTTCCAATCTTCTTGAATAAATTAAGTGATTCAAATGAATAAAGTGAAACAAATGGCAGGCTTGATTGTCAGACTACCATTTGACTAAAATATGGGTCTTTACATGTAGCTGTAGGAATTGTATAAGATATGTTTCCTCTCCTTCTTTCCTTCAGGAGTGGTCATATACTCAGCTGGTTCAGCCGTTTTTTGCTGAGAACAGCTGCTGACAATGTCATATACAGTATAGGGTTGTTGATGAGAGCCGTGGGACTCAACCATACTGTCAAACTCCTAATGAACGAGCTAAAAGAGGCTAAAAGCTGCACAAAGCCGTGGTGTGTTAGTTCTCAGTGGATCTAACACTGTTACTAGATGCTGACAGTGTGCTTTTTTAGAACTGATGTCAGACAAGTCAATTGCCTGGAAACCCCCTTCCCGTCACACCTTCAACATCACATTAGGTGGGGCTGTGTCCGACCATTTCTGTAAAAGAAATCTGACAGTGTGGAGGAGAGAGAGCATCCAGGGTTTGAACTCGTCTCTGCAGCTCTCTTTTGGTAACTTTTCACACAAAAAAGTGAGTGCAATGCCATTATTGCTTTCCTGGAAAGACTGTCTGGATGTGTGTGCTGTTACACTGGCTTTTCACTCGACTTTCAACTTTGCATGTGCAACTGAAACACTTTTGATATCCGGCATTGTCTGACAACATGTTGTTGAAGCCATTTATTTTCCAGGAAAATACATTTGTATGAAAGTATTCATACCAAAAGCTTCACATTTATTGACTGTCACTGCACTACTCAGAAATGTCCATCTACATTATACTTCTAAAACTGCTAAGATATTTTTCCTAGAATATTCTGTGGATGTCTCCAAAGAAACTGCTAATACTTGTATATAAGTTGTTATTGGTAAGACTACCATCATAGAAACGTAAACTGTTCCAATGGTGTAATGTACAACAGGATTTATTTTCCATCTGTGTAGCTTCTTATTCTGCTGCAGCTGACAGTCAGTTTAATTGTTGTCTTCTTTTTCCATTTCTCTATAAACGGCTATTGTTCTGTCCACAGTGCTTGAAGGCCAAACATATTACAAGTCATCCTCTTTGTTAGTTTGACTGCTGATGCTGAATCATCTTATTTACTCTTCAGTCCCTAAACCCTCTCACACTCTATTTATCTGACAACAGTCGCTGTTTCAAAGCAGCAGTCTTGTTTTACATCCTTTACTTAGAGGCAGAGTGTGGCCTCAGCTTTCTGAAAGAAGCTTATACAGTATAACGAAAAAGGTGAAAAAAAGCATCTGTTTTATGCAAGATAATGTGATTTTACTTTATGTGATCTGTTAGTAGTCAAACACACACACACAACCTTCTGCCTGCTATTCATTATGTGATGTTACCAAACCACCTCTCATCTTTGATAATTTGCTCTCATTAACCAAAAGATCTGGCTTAGACAGGTAATCAGTCACATATTCCTGTGTGTGTGTGTGTGTGTGTGTGTGTGTGTGTGTGTGTGTGTGTGTGTGTGTGTGTGTGTGTGTGTGTGTGTGTGTGTGTGTGTGTGTGTGTGTGTGTGTGTGTGTGTGTGTGTGTGTGTGTGTGTGTGTGTGTGTGTGTGTGTGTGTGTGTGTGTGTGTGTGTGTGTGTGTGTGTGTGTGTGTGTGTGTGTGTGTGTGTGTGTGTGTGTGTGTGTGTGTGTGTGTGTGTGTGTGTGTGTGTGTGTGTGTGTCACCAGTCGGTGTGACAGATGGTAAAGTGTTTTGGCATGGATCCCTTAAGGAGGGTTCAGGTTCAATCTAATCAGGTGCCAACTTGTTTGCTGACCGTTATTTGGCATTGCGACTCCAGTCACTTTGAAGCACCTTGTGTTGCCCATTAGAGATGTGCCATAGTTTGTATTCAGTCAGCTACCTAATTGTTCAAACCTGGCAGCTTTGAAAAGGAATTGGAGGTGACACCAACAGAAACCGATTAAGCTCAGAGTTTTGCAAGCAATCACTTATAAAGTAAGAAACAAACACACATTTAGTCCTTCTCTCTTTATGTGTTTGAGTAAAAGACTACTGAGCTGCAAGAACTAGCAAGCCAACATTAGAGAAAAAAAGCAATTGTGCCATGTTCAATCAATTAACTGTACCATATATTTTACATTCATAACCGCCTCTTTTCATCTTGGTGTTTCTTGTTGTTGCATCAACTCGGTGCCTGTTAGGTTGGATTGGATTCCATTGCTTGCATTCACTTTCAGTGTCTAATACACAGCATACTTGCTTACTGAGGACCCATTCTCTGATTTAACTGTTTGATGGATTGAAGAATTAAATGCAGTGTTTTATTTAAGTGCAAATTCAATTGTAAATACTCTACGGTTGGACGGTATGATAACATTTGATAAACAGCCAACCAACTTTTTGCTTCTTGGAAAAACTAAATTGGAAAAAGCCATGCATGTTTCTCAATAAAGTATTGTTTCCACTGAAAACTGGCAGGAAGTGGTAAAAGATAACTGTCCATTTTGTGCCTTTTTATTTTATTTTGTAACATGTGGTTCCCCCTCAATTCCAGGTGTTATCGTCTTGAATGTCCTTATCAGCCTTAAATACCAAATGGTGCAGATGCTTTATTTTAACAATATTGTGATTAAGGCACTATATCTGCATAACAAAACATATTTTGAATGGGCTAATAATGGAGAGGGCATTTGTCACTTGTAACTATAGCTTTGAAACAATTAGGATGCTTGATAGCATCACATGTTAGACTGATAGAGTCCCAAAGCTCATTATAGTTGGAGTCTCAGTGCTGCTGATCTTCATTCTCAGCACCGCTCATCCCACACTGGTGCAACTAATCATCAGTTCCACTTTTCAGATTCAGATTCTTGTTTTGATGATGGCTTTTTCTCCAAGGGATTTTATTGATGCTGCTGGTGGTTATGTGTATTTATTCATTAGTTAGTTAATTTAATGTCCCCCCTTGTGTGTATCTGCATCCTCAATCTTGAGAACTTTGGAAACTTGTGAAGTTTTATTAGTTCTAATACTTAATTTCCTTAAAAACAGACAAATATCAGATATTTTTTAGGATTATATACATACATTATATATTTAAGTATATCTAATAGACCACCGCTTAATGCAATAATACACAACCAGGCGCCAATAAGCTTGTGCCAAATTGGTGTCCAAATTTTACTTTCTGGATACTTTTTGGATTTTTTGGTTTGTCACTAAATATTGACCACATGTTTCTCTTCTCTCCCTGGTTGCAGGCTTCAGAGGAGGCTTCTCTCCTGATTGCCAGCCCCAGGATGCTACTCCCTGCATCGGGCACACTGCCACCAGGTGGCCCCCTGTCGACCCACCACCAGATCCAGCTGCTCAACCAGCAGCTCCAGCAGCAAGAGCAGCAGACACAAGTCGCTGTGGCACAGGTATGTTTTTCACACATAAACAAACCCACACTTCTTTTGATAAGAAAGCGTAATGTGACTGGTACGCATTGTTCGGTTTTGGCTCAACAGTTTTCAATATCGCACCTGGTTGCCAAACTTCCTCTTTTAACAGCTAAACACTTAAATATATTTCTGATCAGCATTGCATAGTTTGACAGTCTGATCGGACTTCAAAAGCAGTGATTAACACAGTCTTTGCTAAACAACAGTGCAAAGGGGAAATACTTACATGTATTTGATCAATTGGAAACACTCAAGGATCATTGGAAGAGGGAAAGATATCAACACCCGCCTGCAATCCAATCTGAAGTTGAAAAAAATAATGTAAGATCTGAGTGCACACAGCATCAGCCATCAATCACCCAGCTTGAGTGGCTCAGCTAAAGAACCGGTTAGTGACAGCAATGGCTTAGGGCTTATACATTGGATGAAAACACACACACACAGTTTGTCAGCCTGCTTGCAATAAGGCCTCAAGACTTGAAAATGCAACTCACACACACACTCCTGACTGAGAAGTGTCTCAGACTGGTAGATACTGATGTGTGAGGTCTCCCAGAGAAGGGTCCACTGGTCCTGATTGAACCTCCTGTTCACACTGAACCCAGCTGGTCCCTTGTCATGACCTTACCAACGTCACACAGAGTGCAGCTACAACCACTAGCTAACACGTGTAGATCAGACGTGCCAGGACATAAATGCCTTCAATAATACCTTGATGAAGTCAGAGGTCACTGCAGAGACACTGGTGTGTATTTTTTAAATGAGTTATGCTTTGGCACACGAAAGGAGGTGCTTTAATGTGGAATATTTCAAATGAGAATGAGCTATCGTGAGATGGTTCGACCTGACCTTGGCTGTTCTTCCAATGTTTTACTTTACTGGCCTTTAAAAGGGCCATATTAAGTTAATTTTCAGCTCTGTTTTGATTGGTCAACCACTTAGAGATGTCCCGCCAACAAGTACAATGTGTTGGAGCGCTAGCCAATAGAAGCGTTAGTGTTACATAATGATGTCACTATGTTATGTTCTAGGCGTTTCAGGCAGGGGAGGTCACTTTAGGATTTTAGCCTTTGCAGACCATTTACATGCACAAAAAAAACTATATCACACACTACAGGGGGAAACTCTAAAAATAATAATAGGGCCCTTATGAATCCAGGCAAAGACAACATTTATATATTACAATATTCAAAATCTTCAAAAATATCTTGTCACATATCACGAAATTGATATAACATCCATATATTGCTCATCCCTACTGTCATCTTAGCCTGTTGTAGTAGTTCCTTAACCAGTTAAGCCCCGAGCCTGTTTTTGCGAGAGCAAAAGTCTGATCATTGAGAAAGAAGCAAAGAGAACTGCAAACAAAAAGATGTGTTAAAACAAATAAAAAAGATTTATAGTTTACATGATTACACAAATGATTTGTTTGCAATTTATAGTTTTATTTTTTTAATTAAATGTATTTTGCTTGACTCAGTTTATTTTCTCTTAAACTCTTAGTTTTGCTTGATTCTGAGAAATTGTTGCTTTATCTTTATGAAACAAAACTAATCCCATATGAATGTGTCATACCCACTTAACGGGAAGAAACTCAGCTAACTGACGATATGAACCATTTTTAGCTAAACGAAACAAGGGTAATACCAAGCCTCTGAATTAGCACTAAGCGAAAAAATGCTAACGCACTTAGCACAGAACTCACGGTAGAAATATTGTATTACTTATCGGATCTGCACAAACAAGATATCAAATGAAAGCTGAGATTCCACAGATTCTAGAGGTATAAGTGTCATCACTGTGCGACCAGAACTCAGGGCAGCGAAGGCAAAACCAGACATCACACAACGTAGCTTTACGGAGCCAAAACGGCAAATACGTCTTACCTTTGCTGTTTTCTGATCAAAAGTTGTGTTCAATGGCATTACAACGATAAAAACCCTGCTTAAGGTTAATCCAATGTGTCTGTGTCACTTTGAAAGGATTACTGATAATCCATCATAACATTTTTGTCAAAAACGGAGATTTCATATAGAGTGTGTGAGAGCTACAACCCAGCTTCCGGTTTTGGGCATTCTGGCTGCGCATCACTCTCACTCCTCAATGGTAATGTTTAGATGGATTTAGGAATTTCCCATTCGATTCTATTGGCTCTAACGGTTCAAAACAGTTGTCAATCATCAAAATCGACCGAGGGGGGGCCAGAGATATGGAAAATCCACCCAAATGACCCCAGAAGTGTTTTTTTTTTTCTAAACCTCTCTAAAAAGGTCAAATGTCACTTGTTTTGCATCAATCATCTTGATACAGGGTACTTATTATATGTTATAGTTTGGATTCCTAAAGCTTTTAGTCTACTAACCCATCATGTTTTTATTTTGGACGGACACTATAATTTAATTTTTTTACTATGTTCAATCTGAATTTACTTTAAAATAAAACAAATCTATATTGATTCTGACTTTTCTACATCCAACTCACAGGTTTATCATTGCTTTGAGAAAAAAGATTATTAATTTATCCCTTTTAGAAGTGAAGATTATATGGTCATTTGTTCTGGGAATGTCATTTTTCGAGCCTGAGACCTGAAAAACAGGCTCAGGGCTTAACAGGTTAATGACTGTTTGACTAGTCTATTCTCAGAAAAGGTATTTAAAGTATGCCAATTATTAACCAATATGTAGTTCTCAACCTGGTGAATGGGAGGAGTCAGAAAATAAGTATAATATTTTAGGGAAGGGGGAAAAAAAACAATAGATTGGCCACAGACAAATGTCTTTATCCATACTCTCCCATTTCTCCCTCACCCCTCAAACTCCCTCTGACAGGCGAGACTAAACTTGCCTGAGGCTGCGGCTGTTAACCAGCCGCAATGAGGGAGGAGAACTTACTCCACCTCTGATGTTCAAACAGCAGGCGGTAACAACGTGATTAGCTCTGCCCAGATAACGCACATAGAAGAAGAGAGTATCAAGAGTTACAAACTTAGTTTCACCGTCAAAACAAAAGGGACTTCCCTGGTGTCTTTGCCGCAGTTTCCCACCAGAACATTTGAGTGGGGTGACTCTTTGTTTCAAACTTGTCACAGGATCCCAAAGCATCCAATTTAATTATTTCAAAGACATATATTGCTCTTGTATTACCGACAACAGCAAGCCCCCGCTGATTGTGCAGAGTTGTCAAGTTTTGGCACTTCTGTCATAATAATGTGATTTTGAGACCACACACAATATTTCAGATGGGAAAAACATATTCTTTATTTGGATCATCAGTAAGACTTCTTGACTTAAAGTTATAACCTTAAGAGTACAATGAAGTGTAATCCTTTTTATTGCAAATCCCCCTTTTCTTTATTAATATTCAATGTTTTCTTATATAAATTGCCCTCACGCATTGATATCATAAAGATAACAATCTTAAATCAAAGCCCTATTTTCCTTTCATTTGATACATTGTTTTGTCTCATTTGGTTTGTTCTTTTGTGCATCTGCAAATCTTTGCTTTATAATCTCAGCAGCTGTATTTAAAGTTAACGTTGCAGTATGGCAGCATGAGTTTTTGCTCATTTGGAAGGGATAAAGTGGCTTTCACTTCTGACCTTATTGCTGATGAAAGTGTTGTGACTTTTTGGCAAAACTTGCAGAGGTCGGTCAGAGGTCACAGTAAATTGAAGAAAATTATCTAACTGGCCAATTATCATCATAGCTAACTGAGGTATAAGTGGATGTGGAAATGTTTAATGAAGTCAGGGAAATTAGAGAGTACATCATTTTCTCTCCTTCCAGCTTGCTTACTTTTCTTCATTCCTTCCCTACTTCATTTCCTCCTCTTTTTGTTTAAAAGATAATTCCTCTTTTTGTTTCCTCCCATCTCCTTTGGATCCCCTCTTTCCTGTCCACTCTGCGACATTTCCTTCTCCCCCCTTGCCACCTACACCTTCCTTTCATCCTTCTTTTTCTCGTTTGATCCACCTGTCCTTCATTTCTCCTTCTCCTTCTCCATCTTCTTTCTTTCTTCTTTTTGTCAGTTTTTCTACGCATTGATTCTCCCTCCCACACCGTCCCTTCCCCTTGGACTTTTGTCTTGTTCTCTCTCACTTCACTCAATCACTCTCTCCCCATCGTACCCACATAAGTGCCTTTCTAAACATTTCCTTATCATTGCACCAGCAAAATGATCATTCGCCCTTTAGTTTTTTCCTCCAAAAATGAGATAAAAATAGAGAAAGAACAAGTGTTGGAGGGGCTTCAAACACTCCCAAATCAAAGGGGCCTGGCGTGGGCAGGGATGTGATGATGGTAATCCTGTGTGAAGAGAAAACCCTCGCCAACCAACCCTGTGGAGAAGCAGCAGGCCTAATCCCCTTACGCTCCCACTGGGAGAGTCACAGTTTTTCAATCTTGTCTGAAAGGGAAATGGTATCATTTAAAACAGCCTCGTCACAGTTTTTATCATATCTGCATTTTAAGATTAAGATGTTATACCCATCACAACATACGTCATTTTGACTCTGAATCTATCCTTGTACTTAATATTTTTCTGCAATTCCAAGCCAAGAGTTACATTTGCATTTCATTTATGGAGCATAGAGTAAAAGCCTGTTTGCAAATGTAATTTACAAGGCAGAGTTTATGGAAACACTTTGTACTGCTAATGGTTCATAAATAGAATTAAAAGAAACATGTGCATAAAGTTCCTTAACTTTATTTTATTTTTCTAAACTCTACTGTGTCCATGCTTTCAAATATTTAAAGGATTAAAGAAAGGTCGGACACATGTCAATAAAGCAGTGGTGGAACAAGTACTAAGATTATTTACTTAAGTAAAAGTACTGCATTTAAATGGTACTTTAGTAAGAGTAAAAAAGTATTAGCATCAAGCTATACTTTAAGTACCAAAAGTAAAAGAATGGCCCATTTAGGCACTATACATTTGAACTGTTGTACAATTATGATTGATGCATTAATGTCTTCATC